AAAACTACAGTTATGAAGTAGCAATAAAAACAATTTTATGGTTGGGGGTCACCACAGCATGAGGAACTGTATGAAAAGCAAAAGCATTAGGAAGGTTGAGAGGCGCTTCTAATCCCAGAGCTCAGGAAGCTAAGGTAGAATGATTATAAGCCCAGGGCACCTGGGATACACAGAGATACCTTAACTGAAAAACCAATCAGCTAGCTGGCTAAAAACAAGAAGCCATCATGGAATCGAAGCAATAGGCTTACAGAGAGTTAAGCACAAATCAAAGCAAAACATTGCTTTTACCAGCTCAGGTAACAACAAGTAGGAAAGTGAAGACATTTCAGGAGAACACTCACATAAACAGAAACAAGAAGGATCTGTTCAGTCAAGACACTTCCTGGTGTGAAGGGTGAGCAGCAAATAATAATAATAATAATAATAATAATAATAATAATAATAATAAAAGCAAAAACCCATGTAGAAATTAATAGCTGTTGTCCCAAAGAACACTGCCCTCCAGAGAAGGGGTAGTAATATATTCTCCACACATTCTCCATCACACAGGACGGCATGCTTTCTGAGCTCATGGGATTTGAATTCAAATGTTTTTGCTCTCTTTATGCCCGTTGTGGTAACAGAGTATGGGGCAAGTGAGACTCTGTCTGAGGTATCAGAATTACCCAGATCTCTCTGTGAACTTATGAACCTGTGGCAGATGCTGTGTTTCAATCTGTGAGGAGCCTGCTGGAAGAGACAGCAGATGGCAACCTTGTTTTATTAAATGAAGTTTCTGCCATTGGTCATTGGAAAGTGGACTTTGTACTTCTCAGAGGGACTTAATGTGGGAGGGAATGTCATCTCCTGCAATGTAATGCTCTAGACTCTAGGGAAGAAACCTAGAGATTGTAACATATCCTAGAGAGAAGATTCATGACCAAAGACAAATGTGAAGTCTAAAACATGAATGATAAACGACTTTGAGAATAGATACCAAGGACAATGACAGTATCCAGACATATGGACAGCAGGAAGAGGATTGTGTGGGACTTGGAGATGATCCTAGAAACGAGGATCCCCCTTAGTTCCTCTAAAGGTCTCAGATGAAGGAATCCAACCAGCAGTTGGGGATGCAGATAGAGAGTTTCAAAAGGGAAGGGAAGGACCCATAGTTTTGGATAATTAAAATTCTGAGGCAAGATACAATTTAGGAGGATAATTTGAAATAAAGGGGCTCTGGCATGATTTTGGAGAGAAATGATAGCAACACAAAGAAAGAAAGAAAGAAAGAAAGCAACAAACAAAGAGAGAAAGAGAAGCAAATGAGGAGAGTGTATTCCACAAAGGCAAACAATAGCCGGCACTCACTAAAGGAAATCATGTGGACAACCTTGGGAAAGGCTACAGTAGGGTCAGTGGAAAGTGGCCTGTGAAGACAGCAGGATGCTTTGGAAGGGTATTTATTCAATAGTTGGGTTGGTTTTCTTGCTGATTCTCTGTGAAAATTATATGCAAGGATGTTTTGGCAGCAGTTAGGGGACCATGACTCAATGGCAAGACTGGCTTAAAGAAGAGAAGAAATATAGCATCTGTGAGATGCTGGAGAGGGTAAAAGATGCTGTAGAGTCATCTATCCAGGGTGGGAAGACAGAACTGACAGAGCGTGATTTCCCCCACATTGACTGTGTTGAGGACATTGAGAAAAAAGTCATTAATTTGGGTGAATTGATGAAAGGTAAGTAAAATGCACTCGATAAGCAATGCTGTATATGAAAGCACAGGCTGGATTTGTGAATAGAAATCACATGACTTCCCACTCTGTATCCACAAAGCACTGGTTCTATCATACTTCAGACATCAGAACTCACAGTGACCAAATCCCATAGAAAATGACAGCATTTACATGCAGTATCCACAATCCTCCTATATAATATAAATCATTACTTAAAATATCAAATAGAATGTAAGTAATATCTAAATGGTCAGGTATTATATTGTGTAGAGAATAAAATCAGGAAAAGGAAATATGTACATGTTTAGAATAGACACATTTTCCTGTATGTTTTCACTCTGGGTGCTGGGACTTGAACCCAGATCCTCTGCAAGAATAACAAGTGCTCTTAACCACTGAGCCATATCCCCAGGGCCAACGTTTTCATTCTGTAATTGATTGAATTCATGAAAATGGAACCCACGTATACAGAATGCCAAGTGTACACCATAAATTTAATAAAGGGAACAATCTGAATAGAAGATGAGAGAAACTAAAAATCTAGTGTTTTAGGGAAAAACTGATCATGAACCCTGTGCCATAATGACTTGAGTATGGCTGAACTATAGAAGATTCACAACCTTGACAAGCAGGTCTGACATTTGGAAAGGTACAACTTGAAGAAGAATCTGTGAAGCAGCATGCTAATATGGAGCCCTGCTGTGGGAACATCTCCGTTTGAGCTACCCTTAAACTTTCTCTGTGAAAAAAAATATATATACATCTCTATAGATACCTCTGTGGCAGTGCAGTGAATGAAACCTAGAGCCATGTGCATTCCAGACACATTTTTGTACAACTGATTTACCCACCCCATTTCAGCCTGCTACAAAATTTCAGAGTCTCAATTTACTAATCAGCAGTAAGAATGGTAAACCTTCTCACATGACTTATTTGCTGAAATTCAATATGTTAATATATACTAAAGACCCTGGACCGTGGTAGATACTCAAAACAGCAAATAAGCTTAGCATCTATTGTGCTAGAGCTCTGTTCTATAATTCTAATCTCCAGCACTAGGAGCATACTCATTTCTGCTGTTACATTTGTTTAGCATCCTTCTACCTTTATGCCTTAACACTTCAGATCTTTTCACTAGTGTGCTGTCAAAGATGTGGCTACAAGGGCAGAAACTGGTTTTTAGGTGAGGTATTTCTGAACTTCCAGATTAGCTGAACAACTTACCCAGGTATATAAACAAGCATGCCATAGAAAAACTAAAGAGAATCCCAGGTGAACATGTGTGTGAATTTTGGAACAGGATGCCATAGTTACCATCCTTTGTCATTACTCCAAAGCATTTGATTCCCTTTGATTATAATAAAAGTACAATTAATACTTTCAAGTTTTTTATTTCAGTCTTGAAAACAACACTTATCCTACAATCCTACTTTATCTGTGGCAAAAAGGGCTTCCCTTTGCTTCAGTTGGTTTTGTGATGGTCACTGGGGTGTATGGCTTAACTCTTTCAAGCATCCCCAAACTCCAGTTCTAGGATATCCTTCCTTCTAGCTTTCAACAGACTCCCTATAATTCAAGGTATTTGGCTCAGTAGGATCTGTTCTTTAGAAACGGATCAGAGATTATTGATCAAGTGAAGCTGGCATCCAACGGGAAACATGATACAGCCTTGCAGAAGAATAAATGACCTGCTATTTGTCTTATGAAAAGGGCTGTAGATGGAAATCCTAGACTCAAAATTACAAGAGTCACCAACCACTCAACCATATCTTATCCCATGGAGAAACAGAAAACCACAACAATGGGGATGCTGGAAAGCTCAGTGGCTGTGCACATACATGGCAGGGTGCAGGCAGTTATGGGAAGGAGAGGTGAAAATCAATATTCTCAGAGTTATCTTGCTGATGATCATGACCCGTCTTGTGTATATTGGTATAATAACGAGACTTAAAAGAAACAACTAGAACTCCTGCTGTTTATGCAAGTCAGAGACTGGGAACAAAAGAGAGAGGGGGCTAGCTATTCTACTATTTTACTACAGGGACTGGTCTTACCTAAGCATTGGATCATAGTAAAGACTGCCATTGCAAAGATTCTCAGAATTCCTTGTTCTTGCAGGAATGAGCCCTAAAACTATGTCAGTTATTTTCTAGAGTATGCGTGTATACTTTAAAAATACCCAGAACTGGTGTCATGTGATGGATGAAAATTTCAGGCTCAGTGTTGGAGGAGGAAGGTGATAGCAGAAGTCCAAGAAGATAGAGGCCAACCTGTCCCTAAATGAGCCAGAGTCAGTAAGACTTCTTGAACAAGGGGACACTATCCTTACTGATGTCTGACTCATGCTGAGCCTCCAGGACAAGCTATAAGAAGTAGACATGTGTCGGGAACTGTGGAGGAGTGACATAATGGTGCTGGGATTGAATAGAGTGGAGGGTAGCTACTATAGAAGATGAGATGCAGGCAGGTGGTCAGGGATATCAGAGGAAATAGGGCATGATAGAAATAAACAACCATAATAGTTGCAGGCTCAAGAACTCTGAAGTGTGGGAGACACATAGGAAGGAATATTGGGGTGGGGATATTGTGCTATTACTGTATGGAGGAATCTATTAGAGCCTTTAATACAGGTTGGTGTGCAAGTAGCTGCATGGGCATCAACTCGGGGTAATGGAAGATGAAGATGATCACCTAAGTCATGAAGAGAGCCAATGAGGGTCACTGTTCTTTAACTGAAGCTCCAATTTCTTTTCAGGCTGGGTCTCCTCTCTCCACAAAAAACAATAGCTAATAGTTGAAGTTTGTTCTCTCTGACCAACCCTGTACTATCCTGGGTGAGGTCTTTGTATTATCCTCACTTCATAGTAAATGAAACAAAAGTTGAGAGAGATCATGTAACTCAGCTATAGAGTAAATCAAAGGCAGATCTAGGATTAAAGTTTGTTTTTCTAACTCTAAAGTCCCAGTTCTTAACCACTAGCTGGGCAGCTTGCCCTGGAATGTCAAGTAACATGGTAACAAGTGTGTTCACCCACTGAGTAGCCCCCTTCACAGATTACTGATGTTAACAAATTAACTTTCTTAGTTTGCATGACTGATGAGGTTATTTTTAAAATGCAACCATCTACATATGCAAATTCATAAATTGAAAAGGGCAAGTTGCACTATTCACCTTAACAAGAGAAGCAATTCTGAATATTGTTTAACTGGAGTGGGGGATGGTGGAAGTTTTTCAAGTAAATTTCATAAATCTAGGAAGAAGCAGATGACTCATGCAAGAAAATCCATTCAAAGCATCTTTTATTTGCTGTAAGCACACAATCCTCATTTCTGTATACAAAAACATAGTAGGCATTTACAAACAATGCAAACTCTGCATGCGTGCAACCATGGTAGGCATTTACAAACAGTGCAGACTTTCCATGTGTGTACGTTTGTTGAACTAAAGTTTTAGCAAAGCTTGAAAAAAACAAAACACATCTTAAGAGAAAAGAACGCAGAAGGAACAAGCATTCTTAATCTCCAAAACAACTATGAAAGAAAGAACAGGCCCACTGAAGCCTGAAACCCAAGGCTGCAAGTTTTGAGAGACCGGTAAGGAGTGTCCCCTAAACCTTGTCAATGTGTTGACAAATGACTCTGCATTCAGCATGAAAGCTCCTGTGTAACAAGCAGGACATTACCTGTGAATTAACCCAATCCAGATGAAGGTACATTATCAGCCTGCAGATAGCTTTTTTTGCCCAAATGCTGGGCAGGGAACTAAGAATTGCAATTGTCTTGTTTAGCAAAAGTCACAGTGATTTCTCACTTGTATAACAATTATCAGAATAAACTACATTAGGTATAAGCCCACGAGCAGCAAAGTCTGGGGCTGGTTTCTTGGGTAACTATGGTCAATGGAAATGAACTACACCCTCTGCAATTAAGTCTGGCTACCACAGAAGGCTCTTTGCTTTCCTAGACAGTCTGTTCTGAATATGGAGTGCTCCGAACTAATGCTTCTCTGTACCTATTATTAGTCACCAGGTATCACAATAGCAGCCCAAACCTACATATGATACATGTCCATCAAAAAGAAGATCGAGGAAAACAAACTGAAGCTTATGGCATCACACCACGAGTCCCAGAACCTGCAGCTGGTCTCAGGCAGAAGAGAATCGTAGCCTTGCCATGCATCAGCCTTGCTGGGCATCACACCTGAGTTTTCAGATGCCCCCAGTCACTCTGAAGGGATCCAAAGCTACCTCCAGCTGTGAGACTTCCTGTACATTTCTATGACTTTAGTCTCAAAATAAAAATGGGTAAACTTACAGAAAAGCTAACAATGGCTTTTGAGAAGGCACCCAAACAAGAGGTGGCTTAGAAGGACACCTGTCCCACAAACAGGGAGGAGAGCAAGTGGGAGTCCCCGACATTATCTGGTAGGCAGGTTGTGGGCTAGATAAAATCAACTTTAATTTAAAGGAATCTCTAGACAATTTGGAAATGAAGAATTAAAACCAGGTTCCACAACACCATATCGCCGTGTGGCATATCTGAAGCCTGGAGAGTTTAAGCCACGAGCACTTCATCGACCACAGGTTACTCTGATAGAAGGGAAGGATTAAAATGAATCAAGCCAAACTCTCACAAATTCTCTAAAGTACATTGAAACTGCTGGGAATGAGCTGTGATCAGAAATCTCTCTCTCTCTTTCACACACACACACACACACACACACACACACACACACACACACACACACACACACTTCTGTCTACTTTGTAAACCTGAATTCTGAAAAATCCATGAAAAAACAACCCCTCAACCATCTTTCCTCTATGATTGCTATGCTCAGAAGTGCTGCATTTGTTTTGAATGTGTTTGCTTTGAATTTCACACATCTGCTTGAATTTTGAGTATTTGAAATTTTAAATCAGTACATTTAAATTTAGACAACACTAACAGACATGTTAACATGGAACATGGAACTTTCACGGGGCTGTAACCATAGGCAAAGAACTCTAAGCAAATAGAAATGCTGATATTAGGAGAAAATTAGTTTTTTCCAGGAAAAAGTACACCAATTGATCACCCAGTACCAAATAATCCATTCTGAAAACATATAGATACAAGTAACATAGGGACTGAGCAGATTGTATTTATATATTTAGAAATATAAATATATAATTACATATGTAATTTAGGATATATATGCATATATATAATATCAACAATTAAAACAAGAGGTCATGATTTCGAGGAAGAGAAGGGTATGTGCAAATAAGGGTATGGAATGAGGGAAAAGAAAAGAAAAATAATGTGATTATATTTTAATTTCACAAAATAAAATCATTTTAATGAGTTGTTTTTAGAAGTACATTTCTTACCCCTGCTAGTTACTGAGCCATTGTTTGTATAGGGACAAGTCACCTCTTAGGGATTAAAAAACATGGCAGTGGAAAGAATTTTATTTTCAGAATGAGATACATTATTTTAATTTGGTTGTGACTTAAGACTTTTAAAGACCTACACAATAAAATCAAATAAATCTACCATTTACTAGTTCCTTGATGGAATCTGATTGACCCCAATCCAGTGACTGGTGTTTCCATAAGAGAATGACCAAGGGGAATCTCAAACAGTGTTCATTTTGCCTCTTAGAGTCAGTCACAGTAGCCCCTGCTGCATGACTTCTCAGACATGCCCAGTTGCATCTGATAGGTGCTAGAGGCAGGCAGACCCATCTCAACTCCCTCTTTCTTGTACTTGCCCTATTTTTTGTTCCAGTGATGAGAGATGTTCTGGATCTTTTTCATTTTGATCCTCTGATCCAGCATCTTGTACCTTGCAGGATGGTCATCAGTTTTCTTTGGAACTGAAGGTGCATAGGAGCTAGACGCATAAGCAGGGCGTTTAAAGTGACGCAAAGGAGGTTTGATGACTGGAGACCATGGAAAGGAAGACAGAAAACCATTAGCTTCATAGATACTTGCCATAAATATTGTTGTTACCTTCCTCTTCACTTATATATCTCCTCCAAGCCAGAAAGAAGCAAGCAAACAAACAAACAAACACACATAGGATTGGATTTCTAACTGATTGAATAAGCACAACACTGACTTGGTCATTGACTTTAAATCAGTGGTGGCTCAGTATACAAAGATCACTTGGTAATGAATGAATAAAGTCAAGGAAGTGTTTGGGTGTACTGGGATCACATATGGAAGCAAAGTGACTATAGTAGGCAGTGATAAACCTGTTTCCAACAACATTTAGCATTGTGTGCAAGCTTTTGTGGCTGGAAATGTAGCACTTACTCCCAAAGTACTAGTTAAAACCATGTCACTAAGAAAGTACTTGCAAAATAGCTATAAAGGTCTAATACCCAAAATACACAAAGAATCCTTAAAATTTAACAGAAGTAACTAACCCAGTGCAAAAAATGGGCAAAACAATATGAATGGGCTCCTTAGTACAGAAGATAAATATATCAAGGAAGCACAAGGTAAAATGTGAACACTGAAGAATTACAAATAAAACAACAACGGTATTCTACCACATCTTGTATAAAGCTGAAGTCCAAACGCCTTCAAATGATCCTTCCTGATGGGGGAAGGAAAAAATGGTACAGTTGCTTTGAAAGATAGATTAGCAATTTCATGAATCTGGACACAGTCTTTCCCATTAAATGCAATAATTATACTCTCAGGTTTATTCAACTAGTTGAAAACCCTATATCCATATATCCCTTAACTATAAAAAGCCAAGATGACCTTTAATAGGTTAATGGATAAATAAATAGTAATTGGTATATATAGTGGCATCTTTAATTAATAAAAAATAAATGAGTAATCACATGATATGAAGATGTGGACACTTCTTAAGTACACCTTGCTAAGTGAATGAAGTCAGTCTACAAAGACTGTGGCCTCATATGATTTCACTCACAAGATAAGCTTGAAGAAAACAAGACACTAAACTATGGAGACATTGGCTGGGAAAGAATTAAAATGAGGAAAAGGAATTAAATAGGTAAGCAGTGGGAACTCCAGGGCAGTGAAGTCATCTAATGGGAAACTAGTAGATTCTGACACTATTTGTCAAAACTCATACATTCTTATGGGAGGGATCTGTAATTTATGCAATTTAAAAAGGTAATTGGATTGAAGATGTTACAGGAATTCTAGAAGGCAGTGAAGAACAATCTGACTGGATTGCTGGTGTAAGTAACGATGAGCCGGCAGGAAATGAGAGGCAAGAGGGTCACCGTGTAACTTCACATATAAGCAGGTTCAAATAGACCAAAAAGGCCAGAGGAGCTACACACCACACAAGCTATGCATTCTAGTCAATAAAGTCGCTTCTCATACATGGGCAGATTAACAACTCAAACACATTCTATACTTCTCTGAAATTGAAAACCTATGTAAAAGGAGAGCAGATGTTGAAACTATCCAAATGAATGTTAGTAGCTAATCAACAGGAGGTAGCTAATCCACAGGTAATTGATTAGACTTGATGACATCAATATAAATCCATTGTCTTAATAGAGTTATGGATGGCTACATAAAATGATATTTATAGACAGGAGCATTTACATGGCTTAGTACACACACATACATTTCTTTATCAGACCTAGAAAAAATTCCAGACTTTGAAGCTACAACAGCAGAGAACCCACCTTGTATTTTTATTTCAAATACCATTCTCCAGTGAGGGAATCGGGTACTTCCTATAGGAAGAGCTTGTTATAGAACTAGACACAGTATACACAAGGTGGACTTGGAGATCATTATAGAAACATAGAACTCAAAAGTACAAAAAAAAGCAAAAGAGAGAAAGAAAATGAAAAAGGAGTTCCAAATGACTATTAATAGAAATCACTTTGAGCAACAAATCAAAACATGGAGTCAACCACCACCAAAAGTATAAAGTACATAATAATGGGTTACATACAACCTGTGAGAAACCAGATAAATCTACTAGGCATATTGCCAAACAATGTCTATATATCTATGACCCTTAAGGAGGGGACAAGTTGTTAGTGTGAACTGAACATGGTGACATCCTTTCTGTGAACATACAGTCTAATAAGGAACAAAAGAGTAGCCACAGTGAAGAAATGTGACCAATATAACCTCATCCAGGAACCTAGAGTGACATACATCCCGTTGACAGGGCACATCCTTGATTTTATGTAATGGATGTTAATATTTGTGATTTGAAGCAGACGTATATAGTCCCATTCTAGTAGTAAGCAAACAGAAGATAATCCCAATTGGTGGACAGCCACAAACGACCTGACTAGTAAAGCAAAGATCCCAGAGACTGCAGAGCCAAGAGGAGCCTTGGGAAGCATGTTGATGTCATGTGATGTGTCACCCTGGTGATCCTAGAAGAGAGGATAAAGGCACAGCAAGTGACAGCAGGGAGATGTGGATGGACTTAGATGATGATGGAGTGTATCATCTAGCCTGCAGTTCTGTGAGGAGGGAAAAGGACGGGCCACCTTCTGTCTTCCCCTCTGTTCTAGTTTCCCAGGACTCCTTGGTTCCCCTGAAAAAACTGTTTATTAGTGAACATAGGAAGGAAAATTATGTTGTCGGTCAGCACACAGACACACACACACACACACACACACACACACACACACACAAATACGATAATTAGGTGAAAAGTGTAGAGGAGCAGAGTTGGTGCCAGCCAGTTGCCACAGAACCGGCTCTCACTGCAGGTCACTGCACCTTCCCCTGAAGAGCAACGGGAAACAGTGCCTAAGTGAGCGGGGAGGAGTCAAAGCTGAGGGGCGCATCTGTTAAACTCCTAAAACATTTTCTGTGGCACCCTTTCAGCAAATGTCTTCCAGCAGTGAACAAATACCGCCATTTGTGATGAAGCAAAAAGGTTACATGCAGAGGTGGCCAGATGGTTCAATGACCAAAGCTCTACAAGCATTGGGATGGAGTTCACATCCCTAGCATCCACAGAGAAGTCTGTGATGGCTATATAACACACCTGGTTACATAACACACATATTTGTAACTTCAGTGCTGGCAGGCAGAAACATGCCAATCCAAGACTCTCCTTGGCCATTCAGTTTAAAAGGAATGGAAAACTCCAGGTTTTGTGAGAGACCTGTCTCAAAACTATCTCTGGCCTCCACAAATATCTGTTTGACACACCACACACACATATATACCACACATGACACAGTAAGACACAACTGTACCATCAAATAGGATACACTAAATTGTCATGTTTTCAGGTCAGCAAGATGGCTAAGCTACCAAGCCTGATGACCTGCATTTGATCCCTGGAACCCATACAGTGGGAGAAAGAAACTGACTCCTACAAGTTGTCCTTTGACGTCCACAAATGTGCGTGCCATGGCCTGTGCGCACGTGCACACACATGCATGCACACGCGTGCACACACACACACACACGCAGTAAGTAAATAGAAATACTTTTATTTTTTATTTTTTTATTTTTGGTTTTTACGAGACAGGGTTTCTCTGTATTGTTTTGGAGGCTATCGGTCCAGCCCGGCCTCGAACACACAGAGATCCGCCTGCCTCTGCCTCCTGAGTGCTGGGATTAAAGGCGTGCGCCACCACCGCCCTGCTTAGAAATACTTTTAATAAAACACATTGCTATCATATCTTTGAAACATGGGAGAAGTATTTGTTATCAAAAACAAAGGCTCGTTTGATAATATAAAGAAAAATAACTTTGAATCTAAGTTAATTTAGAAATCATCATACTATTTCTTTTCATGTGTATGAGTGCTTTGCCTGCATGTATGTCTGTGTATCACATGCTTGTCTGGTGACCTCAGAGGCCAGAAGAGATCATCAGATTTCCTAGAACTATAGTTATAGACAGTTGTGAGCTGTTGTATGGGAGCTGGGACTTGACTGTGTCTTCTGGAAGAGCAGCCAATGCTCTTAACCTCTGAGATAACTCTCCAGTCCCTAACCTAATCTTATCACACTACAAAACAATTACCATGTGCATAGGAAAATATAAAAACTAAACATTAGCTCATGGCCCTGATTTTGTCTGTGTAGCATTAACATTTGTTTTGATTGACTGATGTCATTTTCTAATACTTTAAATAATTAGCATTCAGTGATATAATTTTACAAAAAAACACAATTAAATGCCCCCCCATGGAATCATCTATCAACAATAACACACCTAAGAGAAAATTTAATAAACCAGTATCCCCTGGCGTTTTCCCACTAGACCCCCAGAAAGTCTTGCTCTACACACTATTTGAAATCTAAGATTAATATTTACCCACTGGTTTCTTAGAACATACACTGTGTGCTGCTGGTGCAATTGAAAAGAACAGGAATTCTTGCCTTGTTGGGCAGTCATGCAGGGTCTACCCTGAACCCTGCGAGTGAGTCACTTCTAAGGAGCATCCTATGTGAACGCTGTTGCTCCTGGGATACTGCCTCTTTTCTTTTTCTTTCCTTTTCCTTTTCTTTCTCCTCTCTCCCTCCTCTCTCTCTCTCTCACTCACTCTCTCCCTCCCTCCCTCCCTCCCTCCCTCTCTCTCTCTCTCTCTCTCTCTCTCTCTCACTCTCACTCTCTCATCTGTTCTCATATATTATCCCAAAGGCAGTTTTCTGATCCCTACCTCCCCTCTTCCCCACTCCTCTGTTTCCTTCAGAAAAGGGCAGTTCTCCCAGGGATACCAACCAAACACAGTATATCATGATGCAATAAGACTACCTAGCTCTCCTCATACAAAGGCTGGACAGGGAAACCCAGTAGGAGGGGAAAAGGTCTCAAAAGCAGGCAAAAGAGTCAGAAACAGCTCCCAGCTCCACATTAGCTACCCCATAGAACACCAAGTGGTACAACTCTAACATGTATATAGAACATATATGCAAAGGACCCAGATCAGACCCATAAAGGCTCCTTAGATGTTAGTTTGGTCTCTATGAGCACCCATGAATCCTGATTATTTGATTTTGTGGGTTTTCTTGTGATGTCTTGACCCCTCTGGCTCCTAAAATCCTTCCCTCACCTCTTCTGCAGGATTCTCCAAGTTCTGCCTAATGTTTGGCTCTGGGTCTCTGCATCTGTTTTCATCAGTTGTTGATGAAGTCCCTCTGATGACAACTGGACTAAACACCAGTCTATGAGTATATGAGACTATTATTAGGAATAATTTCATTGACTTTTTTCTGAATATGTTTCATTCTATCTTAAGTCTTGGGCTATCCAGCCTCTGGTTTCAGGCTCTTCAGGTAGCATCAGGCACAGGATCCCTCTCATGCCATGGGAATCAAGTTGGACCAGTCATTAGTTGGCCACTTCCAATTGTTCTGTACCACCTTTGTCCCAGTACATCCTGCAGGCAGGACAAATTGTAGGTAGAAGGTTTTATGGCTACATTGTTATTCTGATGGTCCCTCTACTGGGTATCTTACTAGGCTGGTTGTTTCAGGCTTCTTAATACCCAAGCCAAAGCTATTTTGGACACACAGTAAGGGTACTCTGTTGTGACATGGTAATAAAATCTTCTCTTGTAGTTAGAATGGGTAAACAAGTCTTCTAGCCACCACCACATTCCCATTCCCAATGCATCTAGAACAAGTATAAGATTGCTATGACTCTAGAGGAGAGAGAAAAGGACTGAGAGCTTCAGATCCAAAGCTGATTTATGTCTTTTGAGTCACAGTCCCTCTCCATATTCCAACTTTTGCAACTCAGCATGAAATCAGCCAACATATTATTGAATTTCCCACTTCTCAGCATGAAGGAACATTTACCATTCGCTGGAATTCTGATTGTCAGAACAAAAACTCCACTTGCTACCAGAGTCCCTACAAATAGCCTGAACCCACTGAGAGATTGGCTCCCCACTGAACTATGAAATAAGTGTGTGCCTGCTGTCACCTCCACTCAGCATGGGAACGAAAGTGGGGGCAGATACGCCCAGTACTGTTTGTATGTACTTCTTGCCTTTTCCCTATGCAGATAGCAAGGTTTTGATGACAGCAGGGCAGGCACAGGGACACCATCTTGAGTATGGGGTGTACCTTTCTTCTAAGGTGTCCCTCTGAAGGGATTTTTATTAATTTTGTCTCATTTCTGGAGTCTTAGAAGGGGCCTGACCTTCCTCATTTTCAACAGCTACACACTCCTTACAGCTGAACCTAAGAGTACAGCTTCCCTCTCTGGATAAAAGAAAAAAATAGGGAACAGAAGCCCACTACCCATATGACTTGCATAAAATGATCATATCAGCTGATGAAGACTTTGAACAAGGTACAGACACCTGTACCTTGGTATTAACTTGGAGGTCACTTTTGAACACTTAGAAAAAACCAACTTAAGATAAAAACTACACGTCATTACCATCATCCTTTATTTTACAATGATACATAATCTTTCATTTTTCATAAGACAATGCTCTTTCAGGAGCTTCACCTCTTATTTTATTTAGCCCTCACTATTTTCATATATACCACAATTCCTCCCTCATAAATAACAACTTTTCTTCTGCTACCAGCACCTTTTATTCTCTCTCTGTCTCTGTCTCTTTCTCTCCCCTCCTCCTCTCTTCTCCCTCCCTTGACCTTTCTACTCTCTTCTCCCAATATACAATTTTTTTCTCCAGAAAACAGATTTAGATTTGTTCACACAAGAAACTGACTCAGCGGTTGAATTGAATTCAGATGTGATCATGATAACCTACATATAATGTCCACTGCCTGTACTAGATACCATGCTGAGAATTTAATGTGAATTAGCTCAACCAGTGCCTCAGTTCACACCTTCCTATAAGCAAACACGAGGCTCATTTCTTTCTCAGGTGTGGAAACTGAGGTTTAATGGATTTATATCACAGCTATGATAAAGGAAGTCTGGAGCCTGGATTCACATCCAAACAGACTTCACATCCTTCCTGGTACACGGAAAATTATCATGGCCCCAAACTTAGCAGTAATAACTGCCATAACAGGCTTAAGATGTCAAGTTATCCCAGCACTCGGGAGGCAGAAGCAGGCGGATCTCTGTGAGTTCGAGGCCGGGCTGGACCAATAGCCTCCAAAACAATACAGAGAACCCCTGTCTCATAAAAACCAAAAAAAAAAGATGTCAAGTTAAAACTACTCATTTAAGCATCACTGTTTGTACGTATGTAACACTTGTGGCATATGCTGAGTGCTGTAGATATAGTAATGATTCTTTAAAACAAAAGCCATCCATCCATTCATCCATCCATGTGTGTATATGGCTCAAGGAGTAGCTACACAAAGATTATGGTGAAGGCCTCTGAAGTAACTGTTTTCATTTGGTACCCCACCTGTACATCTGGAATGTTGGCAGTTGTTCTAAAGTCTAGGCCAGTGGAAATAAGCCATCATGTCAGTTTGGGACCTTAGATGAAAGTATCCTTATTACTTCTCTGCCCTGACTGCCAATAAAGGCCACATGAATAGCTTCTCAACTCTTGGTCTTCAAGTTTACTTCAAGTACCCAAGAGCAGAATCTGTGGGACAGAAATGAGTCACTACTGTCTCTATAGTGCCACTGGGTTGGTGTTTGAGAAAGGCCATCTCAATATCATCAATATTTTCCCTCAATTTTCATCTCCACAATCTCATTTGCAACTCTGCCATCTTTAGAAGGAAGCCAGAATCAGCTTTGGCATTATCCTCATTTGACATGACTGCTTAGCTTTACTTTCTAGTCTCAATAATGGAGATACATTAGCACTCACTTCAGAAGTCACTAATAAGAGTGAAAATAACCACACATCTGAAAGCAGCACCACTGATGTACAGGGAGCACTTATTCCTGGTAGGTTGCTCTCCATTTCTGGAGATGAAGATCTGCAATTGTCTTCCAGATTTGTTGTTGCCAGGAATATGCAGTAGCACTACTCCTTCCCAATTTGAGAGTTAGTTCACACACATCCCAAGATGTGAAAGCATCAGCATGAAGTCAGGCAGAAAGGAAATCTGCCCTTTTGTAGAAATA